TTTATTTATTTATTTATTTATTTTGAGACAGAGCCTCAAGCTATCCCCCTGGGTAGAGTGCCATGGCATCACAGCTCACAGCAACCTCCAACTCAAGCGAGTTGGACTCAAGCGAGTCTCCTACCTCAGCCTCTCAAGTAGCTGGGACCACAGGCACCCACCACAACACCTGGCTAATTTTGGTTGCAGCCATCATTGTTGTTTGGCGGGCCCGGGCTGGATTCGAATCCGCTACGTTAGGTGTATGTGGCTGGTGCCTTAGCCGCTTGAGCCACAGGCGCTGAGCCTGGCATTCTTTTTTAAAGATGAGATTTTCCTTTCTCTCTAATATCACTATGAACTCATGGACTTTTTTTTTTTTTAAAGTGTATTAGGATCTGTTATCATTCATTTTGATGTCCATATTATTTCTGAGGTAGACTGTGGTTGTCCCTTCAAGCTGGCTCTTGTATCTTTTTGACACATCTCCATCAGTCTTTGAATGCTTCCTTTTTTTGGTACAAAATGTTCCAGGAAGAACATGTACTTGCCCTTGCCTCAGATCTGAAATCAGTCATTTTCCTAGAAAGCTTGGTTTCTTCTAGGGGAAATGGTATTTAGAAACCAAGATCTGGGCACCAGGGATGTTCATTGTTGCTGGAGTATCATTACTTGCAGCCTCTTGTGGTGGACAGAGCTTGGAAATATTTTTTAAAAATTACCAGTTTATACTAGTATTTCCCAATCAAATCCAACATTTTGACCTCTTACATACCCATTTGCATTCCCCGTTTCCTGCAGTGAGAATCTTTATTCCCAATAGTGTGTATGTGTGTCTTCATATATATATGTAACTTTTAAATACATATTTATATATAAAATTTTTATATACATATAACTTTCATAATTGCATTATGGATAGGTCAAATATATTTAATGTACTCATTCAACTATAAAGGGACTAGTACTGGCATACTGCATGCTGAGGATGCAATGCTCAGCAAAATCAGACAGTTCCTGTTCTCATACACTGTGTATTCTGGTAGGAGATAATCACACTAATGAATGTATAATTACCAAGCAAGAAAGTACTTTGAAGAAAAGCAAATGGTTCTAAGAGTATATAAACAGAGACAGAAGACTGAGACCAGCAGACTTGAGCTGAGTGAGTATTAAGAAGTAGATGAGGAGGGATAGGGAAGATGAGGATCAGTATGACCATAAGGGAGCATGGGGTTTTAGGAACTGGGAAAAGACTGGGAGCTGGAGGACAAGCACAGGAGGATGAGGCTGTAGAATAATAAAAGTAGCTGATGTTTATTGAATGCTTACCATATGCTAGACATAATTATTTTACCTAGTTTATGCCATGATTATCTGTTTATAGTTGAAGGAAACAGACATAGAAAAGAAGTTAAGTTGTTTGCTCACAGTCACTTACCTAGCAAGCAGTAGAGCTTTGATAGAAGAACCATCACTCTTTATCACCATGTTTCTCATCCTGAGGTCAGGCAATGTGGGACTTTGTAGGTAATAAAAGAGATTTTGGGCTCCAACTAAACAGCAGTAGAAGTTACTAAAAATTTGGCTCGGCGCCTGTGGCTCAAGCAGCTAAGGCGCCAGCCACATACACCTAAGGTGGTGGGTTCGAATCCAGCCCGGACCCACCAAACAACAATAATGGCTGCAACCAAAAAATAGCCAGGCGTTGTGGCGGGTGCCTGTGGTCCCAGCTACTTGGGAGGCTGAGGCAGGAGACTCGCTTGAGCCCAGGAGTTGGAGGTTGCTGTGAGCAGTGAAACCATAGCACTCTACCCAGGGGGACAGCTTGAGGCTCTGTCTCAAAAAAAAACAAAAAAAGAAGTTACTAAAAATTTACAAGTAGGGCAGTAATGAAATCAGACAAATTGGAGGAGACCAGAATGATGCAAAGAGATTAGTAAGTAGGCCATTACATTTACCTGTTCCTTGTTGAGATTGCTTCCAAAACTTCCTGATTCTGAGCAATGTTTCCAGGAATGTCTTTCTGTGTATACGTCCTTATCTGTATATTTGTTAGTTTCTTTGGAATAATTCTTGTGTATAATGTCCTTATCTGTTTCTTTGTTAGTTTCATTTTTTTTTTTTTTTTTTGAGACAGAGCCTCAAGCTATCCCCCTGGGTAGAGTGCTATGGCATCACGGCTCACAGCAACCTCCAACTCCAGGGCTCAAGCGAGTCTCCTGCCTCAGCCTCCCAAGTAGCTGGGACTACAGGTCCCCGCCACAACGCCTGGCAATTTTTTTTTTTTTTTTTTTTTTGGTTGCAGCCATCATTTTTGTTTGGCAGGCCCGGGCTGGGGATTCAACCCCGCCACCTTAGGTGTATGTGGCTGGCGCCTTAGCCACTTGAGCCACAGGCGCCGAGCCTATTTGTTAGTTTCTTTGGAATAATTCTTCACAGTTGAATTGCTGCAACATAGAATATACACATTTAGATTTTTTATACAAATGTGTTTTAAATTTTTACATGGTTAAACATAGGAATTTTTGGAGTGCCTGGTGTTGGGGTATCCTATTTCTATAAAGACCTAAGAACACTTGAAATAGAAAATGTTCTTCCTACAAAGGCTTTTCTCTCAACAGATCTTCTTGTACTTGACCCTGCTGGCAGTTATTATTTGAAGGGATTCTTAGCTATGATTAAGGGGTTTGGTGTCTTTAATAGTGCTTAGGGCAAACAATCCATGAAACCCAAATTTAACCAGATACTTACTGAACTGAATGTTGGAAAAGTTTCCATGAATGATAAGAGCAGATTAACAAAAATGGAGTCATCTCCAAAGATAAAATAAGAAAAGCTCTAGTAGAGCACCTCTTGGCTGTTGCTTTCTAGCAGTTAATTTTAGATTCTTTATTCATTATTATTTTTCATTTCTGATTCCTTAAAGATGAGCATAACCTGGTGAAAGTCACGGAGCTGGTGGATGCTGTGTACGGGCCCTACAAGCCCTACCAGCTGAAGTATGGTGACATGGAAGAGAACAACCTCCTCATTGAGATCAGCGCTGTGCCTTTGGTAATGTCACAATCTGGCCATGGCCATTCAGGAAGCATTCTGTTTGCCTGGCTCTTTGCCAAGTCCAGCAGAGAGTTAGGGATAGGATCAGGTGTGCAAAAAAGTAGACTTGAAGTGCTTATGGTCTTTCACAATCTAAATTAAAACAAGGCTACAGATATGCTACCAATTTTCTACTTAAAATCCCCAGTGAAGATTTAGCAAAATGAGAGGCTTAAATCTTTTGTGGATAAGTCAATTACCTCTCAGATTTAGTAATTTCTTATTAAGGTAGTTTTCTATTTAAAGAAGGTATGCAAATGGGTTAGCAGCTTAGTATTCTTGGACAGTGCTTTAGGGGCAGGTTTACTATGTGGCCATGGGGTTGTGGAGTCAAGGCCATTTCCATTTCAAATATATTTGGTTTTCAAGTCATAAGTTGTCTAGCGTGACGTGAGCTGACGTTTAAGAACTGATCTTACAGTAGTTAGGAGCTGCGGCCTCTTGCCATTTTCCTGTTTTCTAAGGATGTACCTAGATAGTCTGTTCCACTTCAGTTACAGTCTTGCCCCTGAAAGAAGCATTTTCCTTTTCCTGTGCTTTTTAGGGTATCTGATATAGAGAACTTGACTCCTAGTTAGAGACCTGAGGCAGAGATAACATTTTTATTTCTTTTTGAGACAGGGTCTTACTCTGTCATCCCCGATATTGTACAGTGACGTCACTGTAGCTCACTGCAGCCTCAAACTCACAGTTTCAAAGGATCCTCCTGCCTCATCCTCCAAAAGAGGTGGGACTACAGGTGCTACCACGCCCACTAATTTTCCTTTTTTTATTATTATTTTTTTAGACAGAATCTTTCTTCATTGCGTCAGGTAGAGTGTCATGGGGTCATTATAGCTCACAACTACCTCAACTCTTGGGCTCAAGCCATCCTCTTGCCTTAGCCTCCGAAGTAGCTAGGAGTACAGATTTTTCTATTTTTGTAGTGACAGGTCTTACTGTTGCCCAAGCTTGACTTGAGCACTTGGCCTCAAGCAATCCTCCTGCCTTGGCCTCTCAGAGCCACTAGGCCCAGCCTGAAATGCCATCTTAAAGCACAGAAAAATATGAAAATGAACTAGACATTTGATGACGTTTTTCTTCCAGGAGTTAGTTAATTTTTATGATCTCACTGACTACTTTACATTGTCCTCCCCTGGCTCAGTCTCTAGAATATGTGTATTGCTGATATTCCTATTAAAGATTACTCCAGATGAGAGGGCTTAGACGTCTCCCTTTATCTTAATCTTGTCTATTCAGATATTCTTGAGTCCAATGTGACTTTCAATTGTCTGTATTTGCTGACCAGGAACACGGAGAAGTAATTGACTGTGTGCAAGAGCTGAGCCACTCTGTGAAAAAGCTGTTTAGTTTGGCGTCTGCAGCTGTTGACAGATGCGCCAGATTCACCAATGGCCTGGGGACCTGCGGCCTGCTGGCAGCTCTGAAATCCCTCTTTGCCAAGTAAGCCTGGGGGATCTGAGGCAGGGCTGGCCACATGGGAACGTGGTATCTGTCCTAATTAAATATGCATGTGTTCTGTGTTCCCACTTTGAACCCTGTGGAAGTGCTTGCACCTGTGCCCAAGAAGATGTTCTTAAGGATATTTGTTGAGGCATTATTTGTAATAGTGGAACATTTGAAGCAACTTAAATGTCCATCCATTAGGCAGTGACTGCATACGATATGGTATATTCATAGGAGGGAACCCTATGCAGCAGTTAAAGTATGTTAAAAGAAATAACCTTGGATAAATAAAATTTAACAAAGTTTATTTAAACAAGAAAAAGATTCTAGAATTGGGCAGCATTGTGGACCAAAGATGGTTCGAAATGCACCCCCGCAACCTGGTGAGCTCTATTTATAACCAGAAAACAGGAAATTACATAGAGATTACCTAATTGGTACAGTTTGGCATTGCCCAGTTTGGTCATAATTTGACAGCTTTCAGCCTAGGACTGGCTGAAGGTTTCGGCTGCTATGCTTGACTAAGACTCAGTTGGTTGCAAGTTGGTTACTCTTAGGTTAAGTTTCAACTTGTTTACATATCAAGCTAGCGTATAGTTCACTATGTATGGAGGTTGCCTTTAGCCAAACTTTATCATCCGAGTACAGAGATGGGTTTAGGCCAAATTTAACACAATTTAACAAGTATTAATTAGATGGAGTATTTTAACACATATCAAAATGGATAGATCTCAAAAATGTATTGTTGAGTGGGATAAAAAAAGAAATTTGCAGAATAATAGGTGTATTCATTTTAGAAATGAGGAAGTTAAAAAAATAGGGTATATTTTTTATAGTAGGATTTGGTAAATTTTTCCTGCAAATGGATGAATAGTTAAGTATTTTAGGCTTTATAGGCCTTATGGTCTCTTTTGCAATAGATATGTTTTTAATTCTCTGCCCTTGTAGCATGAAAACAGCCATAGATAATATAGAAATGAATGAGAATAGCTGTATTCCAATAAAACTTTATTTACAAAAATCCCAGGACGTTGACCTCTATTCTGGATCTCTTCTTAATGCTATAAAATGTATCCTATATTCCTAGACAATGGCAAATTATGGCCCATGAGTCAAATCTGGTCTGCCAGAAAAGTTTATCTATGGGTGATGGTGTAGGAAGATACAGGGTCTTTTATAGGAGATGTTACATCTTACTTGTTAGTTGATAGGAATAATCCAGTAAAGTAGAAAGAGTATACAGAAAGGAACAGTTAGCTAATTAAAAGTAAGTCCTTTTATAACCAAGAAGGGAGAAATGTTTTTCATTCATTCACAAGATTGGGACAGAAACCTTATGACTAAAAAGCCAAAAATAGTTATTATGTGGCCCTTAACAGAAAAAGTTTACCAAATGCTGATATGGAAGTTCGCACAATGAAATCAAAACATTGGTTGCCCTTGGGGAGCTGGAGAACTGGGCTGGTGGTTGTAGGGATTTAGCTTTGTTTTTGTTACTTTATTTTATTTATTTTATTTTTTTGAGGCAGAGTCTCACTCTGATGCCCTGGGCAGAGTGCCATGGCATCATAGCTCACAGCAACCTTGTCCTCTTAGGCTCAAGCAATCCTCTTGCCTCAGCCTCCTGAGTAGCTGGGACTATAGGCACCCTCCACAATGCCCAGCTATTTTTAGAGACTCTTGCTCAGGTTGGTCTTGAACTCCTGAGCTCAGGCGATCCACCCTCGATGGCCTCCCACAGTGCTAGGACTATAGGCATGAGCCACCACACCTGGCCTAATGTATCAATTTTCACGTTTTTTTTTTTATAGAGATAGTCTTCAGCTCCTGGGCTCAAGCAATCCTCCCACCTCAGCCTCCCAAAGTGCTGGGATAATAAGTGTGAGTCACTGTGCCTGGCCTGTCTTTTAATTTTTTTTTTAATAAAAAAATTTTATTTTTT